CTTCAATTAAATGCTATTAGGAAACTGAATATCCACTTGCAAAAGAATTGAATTGGAAGCTATTTATATCATCCTCAAAGATTAATGAAAAATGAATTAAAGACTTAAACATGAGACTCAAAACCATAAAATTCCTAAGGAAAAAACAGGGAAAAATCTCTTTGACAATGGTCTTAGCAGAGATTTTTTTGAATATGACAACAGAAACAAAGGCAAGAAAAGCAGAAACAAACAAGTAGGACTACATCAAACCAAAAGTCATCTGTACAGCAATGGAAACAATCAACAAAAAGGCAATCTGTGGAGTGGGAGGAAATATTAGCAAACCATATATTTAAGGGACTAATACCGAAATTATACAAGGAACTCATACAACTCAATAGCAAACAAACAAGTAAAGATACCACCTCATGATATCACCTCAAACTTTAGTAGGATGGCTATTATCAAAAAGACAAGAAATAACAAGGTGGGAGTGTGGAGAAAAGGGAATCTTGTGCACCATTGGTGGGAATGTAAATTGGTACAGCCATTATGGAGAAACTGTTTGGAGATTCCTTAGAAAATTAAAATTAGAGCTACCACATGATCCAGCAATCCCACTTCTGAGTATATACCCAAAGGAAGTGAAATCAGTATCTTAAAGAGTTACCTGCATTCCCATGTTCATTACACCATTACTTAAAATAGGCAAGATATGGAAACAACCCAAATCTCCATCAGCAGATAAATGGATAAAGAAAATGTAATATATACATACAGTGGAATATTATTTGGCCTTAAAAATAAAGGAAATCCTCTTACATAGGACAACATGGATGAATCTGGGTGACATTATTCTAAATGAAATAAGCCAGTCACATAGGATAAATACTGCATGATTCCATTTATATAAAGTATCCAAAATAGTCAAAAAAAAAAACACAGAGTATAATGGTGGTGGTCAGGGATTGGGGGTCAGGGAGAAATGAGAAGTTGTTGTTGAACTGGTATAGTTTCAGTTATGCAAGATGAATAGATTCTAGAGATCTGCTGTAAGACCTTGTGCCTAACTGAGGAAGCACTAAACTCTACCTCTGAAACTAATAATACACTGTATGTTAATAGATTTAAAATAAAATTAAATTAAAAAGAAAGAAAAATCGGTGTGCTTAGGAAAAAAACATTGTACATATACTTAACAATATTTTATTGTGCTCTTAAAAATTTGTTAAGAGTGTAGTTCTCACATTAAGTGTTCTTAGCACAACAATTACAAAGTTTATTGTCTTGCTCTCTCCCCAAGTGGAGAGCAAGCTGGTTAAATGCAAGTATTTGGGCAAGACAACTCTTTTACACTGTTGATAGGAATGTAAATTGGCATACCCACTATGGAGCTATTAAAAATGCAGTTTCCTAAAGCTCAAAAAATTAAAAATGGAGCTGTCATATGATGCAGCAATTCTGTTTCTGGGTCTGCATGGAAAGGAATTGAAATTAGGATCCTGAAGCGATATCTGCACCCCATATTCATTGCTGCACTGTTCACAATAGCCAAGACGTGGATGCAACCTAAACGGTCATTGTTGGGTGAATGCATAAAGAAAATATGGCATATACATACAATGGAATATTATTCGACCTTAAAAAGAAGGAAACCTTGCCATTTGCAACAACAGAGATGAACCTGGAAAACATTCTGCTAAGTGAAATAAGCCAGACACAAAAGGACAAACACATGTTATATAAGGAATCTAAAATAGTCAAACTGATAGAAGCAGAATAGTATGGTGGCTGCCAGGTGCTGAGAGTAGGGGTATTGGAGAGGCACTGGGCAAGGGATACAGAGTTTCAGTTCTAGAAGGTGAATAAGTCCTAGAAATATACTGTATAGCATCTATAGATAACAATGTCATACTGGATATTTAAAAGTTTTCTGAGAGGGTAGGTATGTTAATTGTTACTGTATTCCTGAAAAATAATTAAAAGGGCAGGAGAAAACTTTTGGAGGGAATGGGTATGTTTATGGCATTGGTTCGTGGTGGTGGTTCACAGGTGCATACTTACCTTCAAGCTCATCAAGTTGTATACATTAAATGTGTACAGCTTTTGGTATGTCAATCATACCTCAATAAAGTTTTTAAAGAAGCAGACATTTTGTCTTATTTGGGGTTGTAGCCTCAGCACAGTGCCTAGTATACAGTAGGCACTTTATATATATTTAATCATTAAGGGAAAAGAAAGAAAGTGTAAATAAGGAAAAGATTGTCAATTCTTGGTTTGCCTAATTCCTTCTAGTGTTTCTTCTCATAAAAGAAGAAGTTATATACGTGGACTTGCTTAGATTATTTAGGTGTGTAAGAGAAATGAAATGTTGGTGAGTTAGACCTCATGCTCACTCTCACTTATTTCCAGTCCTTAAGTGGGAATGAGCTCTTTGGAAGGCTTTGGGCTAGTACTAGGGATGCTTTAAAAACAACAACAACAAAAAAAAAACCTCAAAACAGCAACAACAAGTTCTAGCCCCTGCCCACTGAATTTTAGAGTCTGGATGCTGCTATCATATAAAAAGAGATGGTGATATATTCTCTGTGATCGAAAGAACAAGTAAAAAGGGGGGGAGGGGTTTGAAGAGGGGAGGAGGCTTGAGTTGAAAGCAGTCAAGTACCAAAGTCCTGGGACAGGGCCGTGTGGAGCTTTAGGAAACTGCATGCCCTTCAGCGAGGGGCAATTTCAAGTGAGATTGCATGGTGGGCTAGATGAGGTTTATGGGAGCGGTGAGCAGGGGCCAGGCCCTCAGATGGAGGGCCTCAGAGATGAAAAACTAAGCCTGCAATGGAAGTTTGTCCTTAACATATTCTTTGGGATTGTGGCTAAACCACAATCTTGCCCAGTGCATCTGAACACAGTGTACAGACTAGATGTTCTATATATGTCATCACCAGGGAGCTTCTGAGCAATAGGGGTTCTACTTCTTTGAGGTGGGTGTCCAGAACCCACTGGACTGGCCCTCTTTACCCTGGACTGGGGGAGCCATAGACCACTCTGTCGAAAGAGCACTCAGTTACTTTATCTTGTGTGTAATTTGGCAAAGTCTGGGTTTTTGCTGATGGTTAAATGAATGAAAATAATGGTGATTTAGATGGAAGGGCAGCTGGAAGTTAGGGAAAATATTGGTCATTGACAAAAATTCTGAGAACTTTAAGTTGTATCCAACTGAGAAATTCTCTCCCACAAACACACTGTATATTATATCCTCTAATGAGGATATATTACATAATTGACATCGCTAAACAGCACTGTGGTTGATTGTGATTTCTTTGTCTTGGAGTTTGGTAATATGCTCAAGCTTGCAGGGCTAGTAAGTGACAGGGCTGGGACTAGACTCCTGGTCTGAATTCCTCTCGAACACACCATCATTCCACTCTTCTCTGCCTAAAGCAAACCTTGTGTTCCTTAATACTCCAAACTACCTCAGGGGGCAAAATAAGGATTCTGTGTGCAGAGAACTGGATTGAAATACATAGCCACAGCAGTCAGGAATACCACAGTAAATCAAAGGCATGAACAAAGAGGAGACACAGATAATATTCATTGACAATATGACGATCTACATATGCAGTGGCAGATACCCTCAAGATTGGGGAATCACGAAATCAACCTGGAAAACTCCTTCCTGCTGGGAAGTAAATCAACTAAAACAGAAGTCACCCAAGAGGCTCACTCTGACTACTGAAAAAAAGGCTAGATCAGCATCATTTTTCTTTGACAGTCCGCCTCTCTCTTGGGTCCCCTGTCTTACGTTGTGGTTTTCCTATCTCACATCAAGTCAGGGACAAGAACCTGCAAGGTTTGCATTAGGGACACTGCTCCAGTTTGCGTGGATGTGGAGTTTCCCAGTTCTTTGATTTGAGAGACAGGACCCCCATGAATGAAGACTGGGGAGACAACCACCCCACATTATAGGGGGTCATTCAGAGACCTGCCAAACCTGCTCTCAGGCCTAGAATGCCTAGGCAAGGCAATCAGAGTGGGCATCCCCTCTTCTACTCCTCAGAGTTCTCAGCAAGGTTAAAGTCTTAGCCTAAGGAGAATGGTCACACTTCAGTAGAGGGAGGATCCTGGGTTGGATAGGTATCAAGTCGAGGTCCCTGGGTGATGAATGTGGGGACCACTGACTCCAGAACAGTGGTGTTCCAAAGAGCCTTGACTCTGCTGTCCGCCTCTCAGGACCCAAACATCCCTGGTGTAATGTGGCTCACTCTTCCACCTCTCAGGAAGGAGCAGCCCTTGATCCCAGCAGAGTAACCTCATGTCAGACAGGATGGAATCACACGACTGGCCAGGAGCAAGGTCAGGTCCCTGAGTGAGTAAAGAGGACATTGCTAGACCCACAGATGAGGGGGCTTTACAAACCCTCGCCCCCATTCTTAGTCGTGAGAGGCTTCAGGCAGAGCTACAAGGGCGAGAAGCCTTTTTATTTCTGCCTGGTGAGTCTCAGGGAGGGAAGGGCCTTGTCTAACAGGATGGGCCCCATTTCTACAGAGGGTTCGGAGTCAAGGTGAGAACACTCAGTGCTGATGAGAGAATCTCTTCCCAAAAGACGGAGGCTCACAGAGTCCTGTCCCTTTTTTCAAGCCTCTGGGGCCCCAGGCAAAGTTAAGTCAGAAGCAGTGCACCCTGACTCCTCACTAGGGACTCAGGAAGGTGAGGGCTTGCCTTGGGGGCTGGCTGACTGGGGTCCGTAGTGGGAGGAATCCCAAGTTCGTGGGATCTCAGTGTTTTGAAGTTGGTGGTCCCCAGGTCCTCACTCAGAGTCCTCACTCAGTCAGGGTCCTCACCTTGGTATCTGTCTGAACCTGATAGGTGAGGACCCTGAATGAGGACCTAGGGACAACCAACTTCAGAACACTGCAATCCCACAGAGCCTAGTCCTTGCGGTCAGCCCTCAGAACCCCCGGCGGTCATAACCGGATGTGATTCAACTGAACTTCCGCTTGGAGACGGGGGTTGGGAGACACATCAACCAGTGGCCGTAGCGTTTGTTCTGTCAAGGGTGGGTGTCCAAGACTTCTCTGAAGTCAAGGTGAGGACCTGCATGTGAAGTGAAGGGACCACTCCCCCTCCTATAACAAAGGTGGCCCCACAAAGTACTGCCCCTGGGGTCGGCAGTGGAAGGTACTGGCACGGCTGCTAGGCTGAGTTCTGCCTGGAAAGTCTTAGGGAGGAAGGCCTTGGTCTAAGAGAGTAGCCCTGATTCTGCAGATGAAGGAAACATAGGCCCTGACAACCACCACCCTCCACTCCCCGAGAGCTCCTGGAAGTGAAGGCTTTGTTTGGAGCTTGGTGAACTCAAATTTAGTGGAGGGAGGAGTCTCAGGCTCTGATAGATACCAAAAGGAATACCCTAAGTGAGAACCTAGGGACCACTGACTCCAGAACAGTGGGGTCTCTCAGAGCCCTGCCCCTGCTTTCAGCCCTTAGAGACCCTGGGCAGTTGTGGCCGGATATGACTCATCCTTACTTCCAATTCAGTTTCCAGGAATTGAAGACATTTGTCTGTGGGTGAGGCCTCTGGCCCCCTGAGAGTGAGTTCTCAGGACTAGTCTGGAGTCAAGATGAGGACCTTGTGTGGGGACTGAGGGGACCATCCAGATCCATAACCCATGAGGCCCCACTAAGTCTCACTACTGCTGTTGGCAGAGCTATCAGACTTTCTGCCTGGAAAGTTTCACGTAGGGAGGGCCTTAGTCTAAGGGAGCAGCCTGGGTCCTGCAGATGGAGGAGACCTAGGCCCTGTCTGCAGTGAAAATGAGGTCCCTGAGTGCTAATGAGGGGTCTCTTCCCAGTTAGGGAAAGCAGCATCCCTGAACTTATTTCTGGAGGCTGTAGGTGGGAGTAGTCCTATATGGAGGACCCTGTCTTTCCCCTCTAGAGACTCGGAATCTAAGGATTTGCTCTGAGCCAGGGGGCCTAAGTCCTACCAGTGTATTGGAGGCAGGAGTCCTAAGTCCTACCTGTAGTTAAGGTCAGAGACCTGAGTGAGGACTAAGGGGAGCATCAACTCTAAAAAGTGTGTCTCATAAATTCTGACCCTTCTCTCAGCCCTGAGAAAACACCGAATATTTCTTAGGCTCAGGCACCCGCCTCATTTCTGTCTGGAGAGTCCCAGAGAGGTGAGGCTGTTGGACTAATTATGCAGCCTCAATTTTGCAGAGGGAGGAGACCCAGGGCTTCACAGAAGTCAGAGTGAGGACCCTGAATGAAGAGTGATGGTACTCATCCCCCAGAAAGCCCCCGCCCTTGTCTGCAGCACTAAGGAGCCCAGGCATGGATGTCAGGGGTGTGTGAACTCTACTTTATTTTTGATGGCATCAGGTTGCTGAGAACCTTTGTTTGAGGGGAAAGACATGAGATCAGCAGAGGAAGGTGTCCCAGGCCCTACCTGGAGCCAAGGTGAGGACCCTGAGTGAGGACTGAGAACCCCAATGACTCTGGGAACAGAGAATCCCACAGAACTGTCAGCAGTTGGTGGCAGTAGTGGGCTGAGCCAGCAGTAATGGGCCAAGGTGCCCCTTTAGTTCCTCTTGAGGGGTCCCAAGAAGTTGAGGACCTGGGTTTGAGATGTAAATTTAGAGCAGCACAGAGGAGGGGGCCCAGGCCCTGCCAGAAGTTGATATGATGATCCTGAATGTGAACTGAAAGGATCCTCATACTCCAGAGTAGAGAGGATCCCACAAGGACTAGACCTGCCACCGCTGCTCTCAACCCCAGTAAGCACCAAGCGGGGCTGGCAGGCTGCAGCCTGAGGCTCCCTTTAATTATTTCCACAGGATTCTCAGAGTACAGGTTGATCATAACAGGAGCTCTGTGGTTTCCTAGAGCCGTGCCCTCACGGAAACCTGCAGAGGTGGCCTTGGTTAAAGCCAAGGTGGTCTCTCCTTGTGGAAGGTGCTCCCTTTCATCCTCTCTTCTCTCATGCCCAGATCACCTGCTGTCCTACCCACACTCCTACTTGCTGTCCCTGGCCACACTCATCATGCCTCGGGGACAGAAGAGTAAACTTCACACCCATGAGAAACACCACCAAGCCCAAGGTGGGATCCAGCATCGGAGGACTGCTCAGGCCACTGCAGCCAAGGAGAAAGAATTCCCCTCCTTGGTCCCTCCTCCCTTGAGTGTTCTTCCTCACAGAGAGCCTGCAGCTAGGTCACGTAACACTCTCAAGACGTCTCAGAGAGCCCTATCCACCAAGTCTGCAGGTGTTTCTCCCACAAGATCATACAAAGGAGCCAACTGTAAAATTGAGAAAAAGCAAAGTTCCTCCCAGGCCCCACTCACCACTGTGCAGTCTCAAGGAGACCCTCTAACCGAAACAACGGGTGTTTTGGTGCAGTTCCTGATGTACATGTACAAAAGGAAAAAGCTCATCACAAAAGCCAATATGCTGAAGATTGTCAATAAAAAGTACAAAAATTGCTTCCCTGAGATCCTCAGAAGAGCCTCTTTCAGCTTGGAAGTGGTTTTTGGTGTTGACTTAAAGGAAGTCGATTCTACCAAGCATTCCTATACCCTGGTCAGCAAGATGGACCTCCCCAACAATGGGACTGTAAGCCGTGGCAGAGGATTCCCCAAGACCGGTCTCCTGATGAATATCCTGGGTGTGATCTTCATGAAGGGCAACTGTGCCACTGAAGAGAACATCTGGGAGTTCCTGAATAAGATGAGAGTCTATGCGGGGAAGAGGCACTTCATATTTGGGGAGCCCAGGAAGCTCATCACCCAAGATTTGGTGAAGCTTAAGTACCTGGAGTACCGCCAGGTGGCCAACAGTGATCCCGCACGCTATGAGTTCCTGTGGGGCCCTCGAGCCCACGCCGAGACCAGCAAGATGAAAGTGCTAGAGTTTTGGGCCAAGATTAATCATACCGTCCCCAGTGCCTTCCACTCTTGGTATGAAGAGGCTTTGCAAGATGAGGAAGAGCAAGTCAAAGCCACGGTTGCACTGCAAGCTGAGGCGGATGCCACGGCCAGTGAATATCCCAGGGAATGTCCAACAGTGCCTCCTACACCTAATGAAGTTGAGGTGGATTCTTCACATTGTGGCTGAAGAGAGCAGTCAGTGTTCTAAGGAGCGGAGGGCAGGGTGTGACTGAGAGAACACAACGTATAATATACCTCTGTGCTCCTGTTGTGTATGGGTAATTTGGAGATTTATCAACATTTTTATTTTTTGCTCTTTTTCAAACGTTGTTACTTTGAAATGAAGGCTTATCTAGCATTATAATCTAAATTTTTGAGTTACATTGGTCTTGCTTATTGTTATCAGGTTTAAGAGTTAAGAGTTTTGCTGTTTTATAAAACAAATTAGGAAAATTTCCATCTTATTTAGTAATCTGGTACAACATAACATGGCATTGGTGTATGCATTTCCTTGAAAACATGAAAAAAATAAGCACTAAAATATATGGAATCGATACAGAGGAAAAGAATAAGATGGTTGGTATTTGGCTTCCTAATCCCTTTTACTCTGTGTTTTAAAAAATTCTAAATAATAGTACATGCTTGACTAATTGAAGAATGTTGAATTAAACCTTAACGAATTAGACCCGATGCTTACGGGCTCATTTATTCCCCAAACATCGCCTGGGCATCTGCTCTTAGAAGGCTTCATGCTAGCACTGGGGGAGCTGAGAAAAAGACCGAGATGTTGACCATAAAATTATAGAGTCGAGAAGCATCTATCATATAAGGAAGAATGGTGATATTCGCTCTAGACTGAAAGGACACGTGGAAGGATGGGATAAAACAGGAGAGAGGTGGTTCCAGATGAGAGCAGTTAAGTGTCATTGCCCTGCAGCAAGGCAGCGTCGGGCCTTCGGAGACTGCAGGTACCTCACTGGGAGGTAATTCTAAGTTGGCTGCGTGGGGCTGTTATCATAGGGAGCAGAGGCCAGGCCCTCACATGGTGGGATTCAGAGTTGAAAGACTGAGCCCAGAATGGCAAACTGCCCTGACCAGTTACTTTGGGATGGTGGGAAGGCCAGAGAGAAATCACCCGAGGCGGGGATGGAACGTGTCCTGTGCTCTTGCCCCAGGACAGGTGAATGCAGTGTGCAAATTCGAGGTTTTATTTACATCATCTCCAGACAGTTTCTGAGAAATAAGGGTATACTCCTTTGGAGCAGATGCCCAGAATCCACTGGACTGGCACCCTTGGCCCTGGGGTGGGGGAGCCAGAGCCCACTCCACTAAAGCATCATTCAGATTAGGTTATCTTGTATGTCATTTTGCAAACTCCAGGCAAGGTCTAGATTTCTGTTGGTGGTTGAATGAATGAGAGTCCGAGTGGTTTAGAAAGAAGGGCGTCCAGGGGCGCCTGGGTGGCTCAGATGGTCAAGCGTCTGCCTTCGGCTCAGGCCATGATCCCGGGGTCCTGGGATCGAGTCCCGCATCGGGCTCCCTGCTCCTTGGGAGCCTGCTTCTCCCTCTGCCTCTCTCACTCTCTCTCTCTCTCTCTGGCTCTCATGAATAAATAAATAAAATCTT